TCCAACCTGGTTGATTCCATGATTCAATATAAATTGGAATGAGAGTCTAAAGATGATATTTACATTCCAGCAAGAGGAAAAAGATTGAGAACTTTTTACCAAACTGCAACTTTATTGGTCAAGTCTGTATTTTCTACGTGTCATTAATCTGATCAAATGCTTATTTACTGTTGAAATAATACTTAGTACTGAGAAATTAACTAACCTTGGTGCTATAAATGTATAGCCAGTTTCATCAAAACGATCAACCTTCAGTGTTTCTGAATCTACAAAGATGAAGAGTAGACACCAAGTAAGCAAACTGGGCTTTATGCCATCATTTCTCATACTCTTTGCCTAAGTTTTGCATGCAACCACGAATTTAGAAAGAAATGTTTATTTTTAAACACATTCCTACTAATACTCTGTATATGTCTCAGTATCTCACAGTATAGGAAGAAATGACTTGATTATTATAGACAACATACACCTGGCAACAATAAGATATATCTAAGAATTTATTTGTATAGGACATTTTATTAGCATGACAACATGAAAACATGTGAGATGTCTTCATTAGAATTACAATCAGGTACAAAGAAATATTTGGGACACTGAGTTGTTAGAACACCAAGAAAAATGCTCCTAGTACTTTCTGCAATCAAGTTTAAAGAACTTAATCATATTAGCATCACTGTCAACCCTACTGAAAATAATGGCTTTAATAGCTGATATCACTGAACACTGATAGGACCAGACAAAGAAGGATTAGAGATTGGCAACATATTGAAATACGCATGAAAACAGAAAAATACTATTTTTTTTCCCTTTCTATTGTCATGGTACCAAATGATCATGGGAAAAATCCTGAGATGAAGAATACAGAGGAGAAAATCCAGTAGGAATAGAAATATAAGTGAAAAATATCAACTGCAGTAAACAGAAGGAAATTGAGCAATGAGAATATACTTGCCCTTTTTCCATTTCGCTATCCATCAGAAAGAGAAAGCAGGGAAACAGAAAAAAAACCAGGGTAAAGCACAAGGGGTCACAAACCAATATTTTATTCAAACAGCCCCTTGAATAAAAATATTGTGCATAGATAGATCAAAGGTTCAATTTACATACACACCTGTAGTCTGGAAAGAAAAGACAAACATCTTTGAAGACTGAAGAATATGTCCTTCTCCATTATTTCTCAGTACCTTCTATATACTGTGGCTATTTCAAGGGTCTGTTTTACAGGTTATATTGACATAAGTGAAAAACCAGATGATCTAATCCTTCAAGAGGATCATAATCATTCATTAAAACTTTATTTTTAAGCTATCTACTATTGGACAAAGCTACAAAATAAATCACTGATTGTCAAAAAGTTGCCAGATCCTACTTCATGTGCAGGAGGCTTTGATAGAGGAGAGTTGTGTCTAAATAACTGTATCTATGCCTGTCAGGGAGATTCATTGTGTTTTTCTAACTTTCTATTTAACTGCATATTTATTCTAAGTTTATTGTAACACCTGGATAAAGTTAAAAGGCTGTGATGGGGTTTATTTAGTGTTCAGCCTGGAGAAGAGAAGGTTGTGTGGAGACCTCAGTGCAACTTCTCAATATCTGAAGAGCCTGCAAGGGGCCAGAGAGGGACTCTGTGTTAGGAACTCCAGTGATAGGACAAGGGTAGTGGGTTTAGACTGAAGGGAATGTCTAGGTTGGATGTGAGAACAAAGTTTTTCCCTGTTCTGGTGGTGAGACCCTGTCCCAGGTTGCCCAGAGAGGCTGTGGCTGCCCCAACCCTGGCAGTGTTCACAGCCAGGTTGGATGAGCCTTGAGCAACCTGCTCTGGTGGGAGGTGTCCCTGCCCAGGGCAGGGGTTGGGGCTGGATCATCTCTAAGCTCCATTCCAACCCTTAAATCCTATGATTCTATCTAGACTACAGTTAACCTATAACTAATAAACAAAAAAAGCATTTGAATACTGACAAGCATCGTTACCAACTATCACTCCAGAATCTGCAAGTGGCTTGAAATTAGTCTAATCTAAAAATATAATACAGACATCCATGAAAAGTATTCATAAAATGCCAAAGAAAAACCTAACTGCAAGCTAAACAAGCCAGGGCTTTCATGTTTCTCTATTCCACCAGGCTGCAGAGGCAGTTTGCTAAGTATTATACTGTAACTAAACTACAAAATAATTCTTTACTATTACTTTTGCTAATAGAATGAAAAGTAGTATCCAGACCCTTAAAATAACAGCAACAGAGGATACACAAAGCAATGATTCTATAGGCACAGAGCAAGGGGGAAAGGATTGTCAGTGGAACTGGGGTACCTACACATATTCTATCTTCATAGAATATTTCTTGCACCTTGGATGTTACAAAGGGTTAGAATCATTGCTGCAGATTTTGGGTAAATCACGATAACATCAGTGAATTCCACAAAATTTATGAGTTTCAAACATTGCTTTGTAAGTGAATCTGAGACTTGGCAGTGCTAGACAAGACCAGGGAAGCTTCACAGTACTTACATATGGCTTGAGTTATTGGTTCTTCTATTTTGGCTTTAATATAATAAAAGCTGTATGATGGTAACACCAATGCCAAACTGCAATAGAAATGGGACATGGAAAGCAATTATGTTATTTGCTGTAGTTTTTGAATTTCAGCTTCTCTGTGTTTTGAGAGCAATTAGCAGGTTTGGAATTTGGGATTGTCATGAGATGAGAGAGTCACTTAGTGACATATCAACCTCACATTTTGTAATGGAAACAAGGAGGTTTATGCCACTCCAGAGGTTATCTGTTGTTTACTTTAATTTGCTTCATTTTATTTACTCTTTGAAGTAGAAATGCACGTTTTAATAGACAAGCAAGGAATTTCCATATTATTGCAAATAAAAAAGGACATGATTTCTTGTATCTTCCCCTGACACATTTAATATCTCAATCTAACACATCACATAATCCTGTGCTGATTTGCACACATCATATAACGACAGACACTCCTTTTACTAACAAAACAACTATCAACATTCATCAGGAATTATATCTGGCAATTCTTCCATTCACATTACAGTCAAGATATAAAATATTTTGTTTAATCATGCAATCACCACTTTTTGGACATAATAATTTTAAGATTTGCAGTGCATTTGCAACACGTTTTCTATAGACTTTTTGGACATAATTGTGTCAAAGCATTTTAAGCTTTGCAGTGCATTTGCAACACGTTTTCTTTTACGTTATATTTATTTTTGTAGGACTTTTTTTTTTTTTTGCAGCTAAATTCAATACATGTGTGGAAGAGTTCAGTTCTAAGCAGGTATGTAAAGGACAGGAGGTCTGAGTAATAATTCCATAGGTATCATCACCTTCCAGGTTGTATCCTTAATATGTGCATTTGGATTTCATCACTGTGGAACTGCAGTGGGCACTAATAGAAAGCTGCAGAAGTTAACATTAAAAAAGTTGTACAATTGAGCCATAAATGATCTGACCTTTCATGACACATTTGCCATTTACACAGAATGGAAGTGAGATTGCTGAATATTTAGTGATAGCCTTCCACCAATTCTCCTCTAGGGAAATCAGCAGCAGTTTACCTGTCATTAACAGATACTGCTAGCAGAAATTGCTAATTAAAATCTATAATTTTATGCTTAATAGGTTTTCTGCAATGAGACTCTGTGGATTTATTGCTGTATCTCATGTCAGGGAGCTCAGGAAGAATTAAGAAGTCATATATAAATCAAATATATTTCTCCAGTGATTGCTAGATGGCAGTCTGATAAAAACTTTATTTTCTTCCAGTGTGTAAAGGTAGAGGCAGTTCAACAGCAAAATGGGATGCTGAATAAAAGATGCTAGATTTGCAATCTCTTATTAAAACTGATTTGTGTGGTATTATATACAAATTAATGTTTGCATTCCCAGGGACTGTCCACCAGTGCTGAATCCAACAGCAAATGGGATCCAGCTTGGTTGAGGACTTGGCAATTGGTCAAAATTTGTGTTTTGGTCAAAATTTGACTCGATATTTGTACCATTAGATTTGAAGCAATTTAACTTTTCTGGGACATGGCAAAGCTTAACTTGCTTCGGTTAATGTTAAATTTCTACATTCCTTTGGATGTTACAAAGCTCTGTGCTTAAATGAGTTTGAAATAATATACACCCCAGTTGGCATTTGGGGGGGGATGTGTTTTTACCCATTACTTCACTTGTTCACCGTGTAATTTTTACATACAAATCAGCATTAGTGTTAATTAGTTAAACCTTGTCATGTGTAAATTTTACATACAAATCAGTATTAGTGTTAATTAGTTAAACCTTGTCACAAATAGCTGCGGATTTCAGAGCTAATCACAACACAGTCCCTGCCACTAAGACACCACAGGAAGGTTAGCAAAGACTGGGACTGAAAGATATTTGCATAAAACAGGTCACTTTTTTTTTATTTAGACCAAAAACATCACAACTTCCTTTTTAATAAGGATATTAAATCAAGAATATGGAGACAAGGTAAAGAAAAGTTGAAATAAGAGGGGGGATCTAAGTGTAGGAAACTGTACAACTCATTCTAGGCTAGAAAATGCACAAGTAAGAATCAAAGTACACTGTGATATAGAAAGTAGGAGGAAAAGTGAGAATCTTAACATCAGTCATCAGAAACACATTTTCCTGCATAAATCTCATCAATTTAATGGGATATGTGGTTTGGTCCTTAGGCTGAGCAAAAATTCTGAGCTTTAAAGCTGTAAAGGATGCCAGAATATCCTACAGGCCTGGACACAGATGATCTGGGCCTGATTTAGCTAGTATAGAAAATGTCATGCTGAAAATATTAACCAAAAGGACACTTAACTAAACAAAGAAGTCAGAGAACAGAAAAGAGTTACCTGTAATCAGTGCCATTCACAGCAGTCCACGTATATGTTCTGTTTCCTTTATCAATATACCTCTACAAAGAGATATTGGTGAAAAATTAAATTATTAAACTCTGGAGCTTCAAGAAGTGTGACCTTCCTTCGAGAAATTCAGTGTAGAATCAAGTACTAAGCTGTTGGAATTCTATTCATTATTTTGCAAAAAGCATAAGTTGAGCTGCAACTCCTTTTCTTCAAATATTATTATCGAAACTAAAGTTACTCAAAAGAATCAACTCTATAATTTTGATTAAACATGAATAGAATGCAAATTTCAATAAAACCAGACAAACATGACCTATAATTTTCACTTCAGAATTCATTAACCAGGTCTATGCAAACCTTTTGCTATGATTTAAATTTTACTAAAAAAAAAAGCTTTCTCTTTTATGGATCATTTTGCAGTTAAATTGTGGGGGGAAAAAAAAAGCATTAATTACAGAAAGACTTTGCAGGTAAGTCTTTAACAACAAAAACACCCAGTGCTTGTCCCTTCAGGTCACAGCACCACTGGCTAAATGTGCTTAAATTTGAGAGATAACTACATGTGTTTCTAATCTTGGTAGGAGGGTCTTGAATTTGGGAAAGAATTTAAACTTGAAGTAAATATTTCTTTCTAAATAACTGAATACATTAGGATAAGTTTCACCATTTGTTTCCTTGTGGTATGAAATATAGTGTGATAGACACAGTCCCACAGTTCCCCAGAGATTTAATCACAAATGCACCTGGCTGACATTGTTTTGCTCAGTTTTCCATTTTGAAGACTCTGAAGTTTATGCCAGCTGCAACATATTATTATTTTACAATCAGAGTTTTGTAACTATGCCAGCAATGAAGACTGTGCAGCTGTTGCATTGCAACACTACAAACATTGGTGTGAAGTACCACAGGTAAATCTCTATGTTCTTTCTTACCCTATGGTAAAAGGATAGTGTGAAAATGGCCATGGCTGGGGAAAAAAAAAAGTGTCTTATTTGACATTTATAAATTGAAACCTTCTCATTACCTGCCTGCTGCTTTCTAGTACAGCATGGCAGTGTGAATATTTTTTTCTTCAAAATAGGAATTTTGGGAAGAAAACAAAAAAAGGAAAAAAGAAAAGCAGAAAAAAACCATGCATTATGTCAGTGTCTAATGCCCTGATACATTTTATATTTAAGGTGAAGAGGTGGCTGAAGAGATTCCTATCCAAGCCTATTTATATTTAATGATGTGCCTATACTATTACTTCAGCTTCAGAGTAAGTAGACACTTGAACCTAGTGCTGACAGTGACTCCAAATTGGGCACAGTGCCATGGGTCATACACCATGTACCTTCACAAGAGAAAAGCAGAGCCCAAGGTGGAAGGGAAGGAAGAGAAGGACTGAGTTGTTATTAAATCCTGCTGTCACCAGCACTGTGAACATGCTTGAAAGGGAACTGACTGAAACCTCCTTCCAAAGATAAGCCAGCAGATCATATCCTCATTCATCAGTTCCCATTTACCTTTGCCTACTTCACTCCTGGTCAGTCTGAGACTACCTGACAATAGGTTGGAGTCAGGTGGGGGTTGGTCTCTTCTCCCAGGCAACCAGCAGCAGGACAAGAGGGCACAGACTCAAGCTCTGCCAGGGGAGGGTTAGGTTGGAGATTAGGAAGAGATTTTTTCCAGAGAGAGTGATCAGACATTGGAATGTGCTGCCCAGGGAGGTGGTGGATTCCCCATCCCTGGAGGTTTTCAAGCTGAGACTGAATGTGGCACTTAGTGCCATGGTCTAGTGACCACAGTAGGGTTGGACTTGATGATCTTGGAGGTCTTTTCCAACCAGGTTGATTCTATGATTCTATGAAACCATCTCATCCCCAGCTATCACTGCCAAAGAACCCACACACATTACTGCAGCTTTTCTGACCCTTCAGTTTACACTACTGCCCACCCCAGCTGCCAAATGTGGCAATGCTTTTGTTCCTATGGCATCTTCTCAGTTAGTTGGAAAGCCCCTGAGGCCTTGGGAGACTCCAGTGCACCCCACCCACGCTTGCTACGAGTCCAGTCTCTATGCTGTAGTATGAAGTCATCTCCCAAGACACTGCTGGGGCCAGCTGCAGTACAAAAGGAAAGCAATGCAAACTTAAACCGAAAAGCAAAACAAAAAGAACATAAATTTTAAGCCTGAAGACTGCAACTGTCAGTTCAGAGCAACCGACCACATCAGCCCTTTTTATAAGAAAATATATGAAGCTATCAAGTGCTAAGTGATGCATGGCTCATGCATGGCCCGTGGTTTAAAGCAGCTTTTTGCTGGTTCTAGCAGCCTGGAGCTGGGAGGGTGGAATGGCTTGAAGCAGTCCTCATTGCCAGCCAGCTCTGGCTGCTCCCTTCTTCTCTCAGAGAGGTCTGGGTAGAGAAAGAAATCTTGGGCCGTGGTGCGAGGGAAGGTGAGGGTAATTAAGAGGTCTGGATAGAGTAAGAAATCTTGGGCCATGGTGCGAGGGAAGGTGAGGGTAATTAATTCCATTGGCACTTGAAGCATCTGGGATAAAAGGCTGGGGATATTCTACTCAAACACAGATTGTGGTCTGGGCCATGTATGACTGGCACATTCTCACGCACCCAGGGACGTTAAATTCTTCCCTCCTGCCCTGATGCTGTAACTGACTTATAGAGTAAGAAATCTTGGGCCATGGTGCGAGGGAAGGTGAGGGTAATTAATTCCATTGGCACTTGAAGCATCTGGGATAAAAGGCTGGGGATATTCTACTCAAACACAGATTGTGGTCTGGGCCATGTATGACTGGCACATTCTCACGCACCCAGGGACGTTAAATTCTTCCCTCCTGCCCTGATGCTGTAACTGACTTCAGCATGTGCAATGCTTCTCTCCCTCCCTCTTTGGGCAAAGAATTGCAGGACCAACTGATTTAGGTCTTTTGTATCACAGAGCCTGAGAAATGTAAGAACCGACTGAAACCTCTTCGACAAGTTTGCTGTTAGTGCAATTTCTTGTACAACCCTGATCGTGCTGCTGTATTTTTGTGACCTTCCAACCCTTCCTTTTCTAACCATCTACACAGAGCTATTTTCACCCATAGCTTTGGAAAGGCACTCTAAACAAAATATCATCAATCTGAAAATGGTCCAGCATGGAGTCTCCCTCATCAGGAGCAGTTTATCCCCAACACAGATGCCAGCAGGACTTAGGACCCTCTGACAGTGGGTCAAGAATGACCCAATCTCCCTTCAGAGAACAGGTTGGTTGCACCCAAAATAACCTTGGCCCCTGACACAGGTGAGGGAGCAGAAGAGACCTCCAATGGGGCTTACCTTCTCTGCCACAGAAAGGACCTGTTAATTCACTATCCTCCAACAGTGAAACCTTTCAGGAAAAGACACATTTTTTTATTTCACACAGCAAGATTTACCCAAAGGTTGTAAAGCAGAATTGTAAAGTTTGTTTTTTGCAGTTTTACTGTGAGAAAGCACCAGCAGAGTCCTAGCAGAAGGCAAGGGGACTGCTAGTACTGGTCTCCACTTTAGAAGAGCATGGGAAGAGGTGAAAGGCAGCATGAAGCTGAATAGAGAAGGAATGTGGGCATGTTTAATGAGATCATGTGACTCCACAGGTTCAAGGACCATAACTTAGAGGCATATTTTTGTATCTGGACAATGTAAGTGTACGTGGCTTGAGTTGATTTGACTTCCCTCATAGAGACTAACACAGCTTTGCTGCCTACGTGATTATATGCTCATCATTATCATCATCTTTCAACTAAGATCATTGTGCACAGTTTTGAAGAACTTGAGCATGGTTTCCTGTCCTTATCTGCACTCCTATTAAATTACACTATCAGAGGCAGAATGCTTTGTCAAACCCAGTGCAGATACTAAGAAGTTGAGGAATGGTCATGAGATGTCCAGCTCTGGGTCATCAGTGAAGGAAAGACATGAACCTATTGGAGTGAATCCAGATGATGGACAGAAAAATGGTCAGAGGGCTAGAGCACCTCTCCTATGAGGATAGTCTGAGAGAGTTGGGATTGTTCAGCCTGGAGAAGAGAAGACTCCAGGAAAACATTATTGCAGCCTTTCAGTATTTCTGTCTCCAAAGGCTTTTTGCAGAACCAAGCGAAAATGAACTTGACATCCTGAAATCACAGCATGGATGAATTATTGATGCATATCTCAGAAAATTCAGCTCCATTTCCAGTCTCATTTAGCAAAACCAACATGTGCATTGCCACTGACTTTCACCCACAAAGACAAGTAAGTTTCTACCATGTTTAATGCAAAAATAAACTAGGACTATGAAATACTTTTTTTCTGTATCAAAGTGAGAATAAATATATAAGAATCTTCCCTCAATCCAGAACTGAGTCAGAGGAGTGGCAATAGGGACCACTCAGTGTTGGGAGTCACTTGGAGTAATGTGGCCAAAATTTAAAGCACAGTTTATAAGTTAATACCACTTATTGAATGGAATATAAGTGAGGAGTGTGCTGGTTTTAACAGAATAAAAACCCCTAATCTCTGAGACCTGTTTCCTGTCGATTTAACTTGATGAGATTTCTGTGGCACATGCCTTGTGAGAAAGAGGAACTTTTCTCTGAAATATTCTGACTCTTAAGTACAAACAGCAGAGATGTTGCAGACATCAAAGCTACAAGAGATCAACAGGAAAGCACAGCTAATACCACACATGGAAAACCAACTGCACAGTCCCAAGCAATTCTGCTGAGTATTGTTATAGTGTGCTTATATATACAAATTGTGCACTGTCTGCTAAGTCACTAAATTAGCTCTCTTCAAGCTGGTTTATATTTAGAGTAAAACAGTTTCAAACAAATGTTTTGGAACTGGAACTGTGGGTCATACTCTGGCTGGAACCATTCCTTTGGCACATTAGTCATGATTCCTTCTCATTAAAATCCCCAAGAATTAGAACACACATATAAGGATCCATACCAGATTTGAGTATTTCCTATTGCTAGGAAACGTGTCTGTTTTTTAGAGAAAACAGTAGCAATGTTTATCAGGAATAAGTATGTTGGACAAGAAAATAAAGAACTCAACAAGCTGTTCAGAAAGTACAAGGGCATGATATAACTCTAAGATGAACTTGCTTATTTTAAATAGTCTTCATTTATGGCATATAAATGTTGCTTTTTTTTCCCCTGTTTTCTTCCCATTCAACCACAATATAAACTACCAAACCCATCCTCACAAATTAAGCACTTTGTTTTGGAATTCATACACAGAAGTAGGCTGGGTCCATTTCCTGATGAACAGAGTGTAAGACCTCATCAACAACTGCCTGATTAATGATGCACCAAAGAAACCAAGAAACAAAACAATTCTTTTTTTTTCATAAGCACATAATTTCTTTTGACTTCAAGCCAGTCAAACCTGTAAATCTAGAGAGAAAAATGGTACAAACTGTCACTACAAAACAAACATCACAAGCATTTTAACATTTCACAGTATTTTTCTGGTTTGGTTTGTCCCTGGACATGCAATTCCCTATGTTCCTGTCTTACCTCATCTTGGGACTTGACCAGCGTTTCAAATGTTTTTTCTCCACTTTCTCCATCTATCATTTTTTTCCGAATCTATTGGCAAAGAAAAATAGGGAGAAGGAAAAATAAAAGAAAAAAAAAAAAAGAACCAGGTGTAGATGTTGTATATCACATGAATAATTTTTTCAGTGCTCACAATATTTCACAGGAACACAGAAAATGGTAATGCACATGAAAGTCACAGCTCTTAATAAAAAGTTTGGCTTACAATTTTCAGATTTTTCCAATTAGAAGTTGCTGCATTCAAATATATGAGGACTAGGGGGAATGGCCTTAAGCTGTGACAGAGCAGAGTCAGAGGAGATGTTAGGAAATTTTTTTCCCTATTAGGGTGTTCAGGCACTGGAATATTGCCCAGGGAGGTGGTGCAGTCACCATCCCTGGAGGTGTTTAAGAGGTGTCTGGATCTGCTGCTGGAGGATATGGTTTAGGGTTTAGTGGTTCCAGCAGTGACAGGTTAATGGTTGGACTCGATGATCTTAGAGGTCTCCTCCAACCTTGATGATTATTCCATGATATACTGAATCATTAGAGTTATGAAGCAACAATTCTGTTATACTTTGCATTTCAAGACCATCCTTGATGCTGGGCACTAACAGAGAGAGTAGCAATTCTGTTTGGATGTGAAAGAGTTTTGTCTAGCATCTTTTGTGCTTCCCAAAACACCTTTGTGATTCAGGTAGTAGCATTGATTCACAGAAACATTTTTATACCAGTCTGAGAGCAACTCCTCTCTGAAGCAGCAATTCAAAGAAACTTAAGGTAGAATTTCACAGATGCCAAGGAATGCTAATTTCTGTCATTATGAAAGAAAAATTTGCAGCTAAGTGAAAAAGTATGCTGCAAACGTAAAATCTTTAAAACAACTCCATTTTATTTTGCAAAATTAATCAGCTATTTTTAAACATCCTGATTTCTGAATGTATTACAAAATTAGTAACTGAAAGATATACAGAGGAAATAATCTATTGTCAACACTGTTTCTCAGTTCTCTTTCTCACCACAGCAATAATTTTGCATTAACAAGTGATTGGGAAATACTTTTAAAATATTTCAGACAATATTTGAATATTCTGTCAAAAATTGTTCCGTTTCAAAACATTTTTCAAGCTCCCTTTCCCAGGAATTGACATTTAGAGTGAAATAGATTCCCATTAAAAATCTAGAATGTTTATAGCTTTTCAGTTATTATATAGTAAAATCCAAGCAGCAACAGGTACTAAGAAAACATGTAATCTCACCTCAACTTTAATATCATTTTCCAATTCAGCATCTAGAAAATCCAGCGTAACAGGCTCCTGGGATTTAGGATTCTGAAGCAGAAGACATTGAATGATCAAACAGTAAAGACAGAGTACTGTGATGTTACAAATCATTCTAATCTCTTCATTTCAAAGTAACCTACTTAGCTGGGATTACTTACCCATCTATTTTCATCTCTTATAGCATTACTAGTGGAGTGGCCCTTTCTCATTTATTTTATTTTGTTGCACAGAGAGGTTAATTGGGCAAGTGGAAATCAAATTAACACTAATTGCCAGTGTGTGTCCACAGCCTGTCATGTATGGGGCTCATGCTGGGATGCTGCTTCCCCTCCTGGTATGTCACAGATTGTATGGGTGGGAGAAGATACATCAGAAGGAGCATAGGATATGAATCCCTCACTAGGCATCCTGTCTCCAAGAAGGGAGAAAGGAAACTTAGGAGAGTTTTCCAGCCAACCAGTAAGATGGGGCAACTGTACTCTTCTCCCAATTTTGCCTACAGACCTACTGTTATGGGGTGGGAATGGTCTGCAGATCAAGATTTAAAAAGGCAAAAATGATAGCAAATTATTTGGGTTTCACAAAAATATGAAACCCACCCTCATTGCCATCATTACAGGAGTTCCCTGAACACCTTGGACTTTTGAAAGCATTTCTGTTAACATGAGTATTATTATCTCAATTTAGGAGGTGGAAACCTGTAGCAAAGAAATGCTGCAACTCAAGCTTCCAGACCTAAGGAATGTAGATGACATTGACCCTTGACTATGGAGCACACAGAAGTTTGGTGGTCTGTATCTGTAGGGCCATTGATCCCACAGGTCTGGAAAGACAATTGTAGCTCTGCTGAACTAACTCAGACCACCCTCTGTCCTCTCCTCCCTTCTCAGCTGCAGTTTGCATTTACTTGGCCAGAGCTATATTCTGTATGAGTTGTTAGGAATTCAACTTTTTCCTTTAGCAATTTTGCTTAAGCCCCATTGACTTTCTATTACGTGTGGTGTGGTGTAAAAATCATCAATCCTCATCAACCAGTAGTTTTTTCATGCACTCACCTACCAGTGAGCAAATTCTTTAGAGAAAGGAATATGGGGATATATTATTTAACCATTTAAATCAGACAGTTCAGAGTAGGAAATGAAAAAAAAATCTGGTTGTATTAATTTTTTTGATTGATAAGAATTTGCTTTGTATAACAGGATATGAAAGAATCCCAAGGCCTAATTTTCTCAGTAACTGAGCACTTCTCATATGATTAGCAACACAAAATCTGTCATTAGCTGACACTATTATTTCAAGACTCGTGTAATTTCTGGCAGTGACAATTTTAAGGAATTTCAGTGATTCAGCTATGCTAACATTTACAGGGTAGACTAAAGGCCTTTCTTTGAAAATTATATTCCTCCTATCCTAACATCCTCTAGCAGAGTGATGAGACAAATGTACATGTGACTGTTCTACCAATTCTATTACAATTTCACAATTTATCGATGTATTTCCAGTTTGTACTGGAAGAAAGTAATATCCTGAACAGCTGGTAAAAGTCTGGAGCACTAAGGGCAGCCCTTATTTTCATGACTGTAATATAGAATAGTGCTAGAAGACTACAGACTCTTCCTTCATTTTCTTGGGGGGAAAAAATGTACATTATTTCTGGGTATATGGAATCATTCCATTCTTGGCAAGTAAGACTTACTGTCTGCTAAGAGAAAAGCCAACAAATTTACTCTCAGGAAGAGAATACACACTGGAAAGACTGCAGACAAAGCTTTGGGGTACATCTTTTCAATATTAACTGACAATTTCATGACAATTTTTGCATTTCTATTTAGACAACATAGATAAAACTAGAAACTAATATAATAGCATTAACATATGCTCTCTACTATTCCAAAATAATTCAGTTATTGTTACGCAGTTGCTTTCCCCCCAACAAATCCACACTCTAAAAAGAAACAGCAAAAGGCTAAAATGTAAAAATAAATTTAAAAAATGACATATCTTACATGCAATGGATAATGAATAGCATGGTCAAACCCAAACAGCATGCATGAAGGCATTGGCATGGCAGAGGAGGCATTTATGAAGTTCACATTCCATTCCAACACACAAAGGAACAGAGAAGAAAAGAAATGGTAAAAAAAAAAAGAAAAATAAAAACCAACACAAGCCATCACATCAAATCAAGGTCAATGTTAATTTCAAACAATAACCTGGGCTAGCTATAGTCAAGGAGTCCCAAAGACAAAACAGTCAACTTTAACAATCTGTCAAAATTCAAGAATGCATTAACTGTTTGTTCTTTTTAAGACTTATCACACATTCCTTATATGATACATATTAAGGACTTTAAAGAGGCAAAGAGCTAAACATCTATAGATACATTCTGTGATGTGCCTGAGGCACAGAGTAATCCATTCAAAATTAGAATAGAAAATTCCTGCTTTAAATGGAAAACTTCTTCCCCTTTATGTCTTCCATCCCCCACCCAAGAATGTGTTTTTACCAGTATTTGGGCTCCATAATTTTTATTTCCAAGATTGCTTATTTAGTGGGGTTTATTCCAAGCCACGAAGAAACAAACTTACAGTTGAGTTTGCTCTTCTCTTTATCCAGTCATGCATGTGACATGACTGGAAGAAGCACAACACCACCACATTCACCAGCACAACTTAACAAAACAGAACAGAAGGAAATCACTAGCAATGAAGCATGCAAACAAAAGGAGTGCAATCCATTTTCAGCAACAAATATAGGATCTATAATTTCAATGACAACTCAAGAAGGAAACAAAGAAAGAAAGAACTGGTGCAGCAACATGAAAGAACATTAATTAAAACATGGTTGTTGTGTGTTTTGGGAGCTCAGTATTCTCACAAATTCTATGGAAGGCCTTTGCTGCATTGCAGGAGCTTAGCTCCAACTCATACCTGCAGTACTAATGAAGACACAGATTATTAGGCTTTTAAAATGACAACTCAAGAAGGAAACAAAGAAAGAAAGAACTGGTGCAGCAACATGAAAGAACATTAATTAAAACATGGTTGTTGTGTGTTTTGGGAGCTCAGTATTCTCACAAATTCTATGGAAGGCCTTTGCTGCATTGCAGGAGCTTAGCTCCAACTCATACCTGCAGTACTAATGAAGACACAGATTATTAGGCTTTTAAAATGGTACAAAGGCAGCAAAATCTTGGGCCACAGAGGGAGACCCAGCAGCATCTGGAGTGGATGGGAGCTTAGAGTTTTTCCAGTGCTGCAGCTTGATGGGCTGCAAGGACAGCCAGGCAAACCCAGCATCAGGCAAACCCCACCAGAACACACTGAGGTACCAGGTGTGCTCAGGAAACAGATTGGTTTTAATGTTCTTCAGTGCACAAACAAAACCATCCAGCCCAGAAATGGCCTTCTACACATGGTATGAATGCAACCACCTGACACTTGGTGAAATCACTGACTTGACTTGGATCAGGATTTTATACCACGTTTTATTGGTGTTGCTATGCAGGTCAACAGTTTTGCATTAGAGATTTCCAGATGTGCAAGAAATTAGCATGATAAGCTGTACTTAAGTTTATTATTTTGCTAATTACATCATGAATCTAGTCCTTTAATAATTTTGAAGTTTTCATTAAGAGCTTTCTGCTCAGGGATTGCACTACATAAACACGACTAGTTTCTCTGTTCAGGTTAATGGCAGCTAATTCTCTGGAGTTAAGACTCCCAAACTGAGAAACCTGATGCAAATAGCAGCTAGAAATCTATCCTACTCTGATTTACCCAGAAAAATATCCTGAAAAACCTGTTCAAATTCTGCAATTTTCTACAGCATACACCGTATAACAAAACTTAGCAATAAAGTCCTAAGAATGATCTGGTTTTCTCCTGACTTTGGGTTTATGCAAGCAAAGCCAGCACGAGTAGTCTCTTTTTATTTCCAGTCTTCAAATTAATTTCAAAATCTGAAGAAGAATTTTTACAGCACGACTCTCATTAGCACCTATTAGTAAAGCACCATAATTTAATGGAATGCCCTTCACTACAGCCAATAGCATGTTTTCCATTATTTCAACAAGGAAGGATGCAAGCCTCATGCTTGGGAAGCTATTTGTCACAATAAACAGTTCTCTAGTTAGATTTTTTTCCTAGTAAGCAGGGCAGAAGCTTTCTAATTGTATTTCCAGGTCTATGCATTCTAATGCACTAATCACCTCCATCCAAAGTTACCTGTACATTGGGTCTCCTTTTTCTCAACTTAACTTTTGGTATGCCCACACCAATTTGCTGAAGTAACAAAAAAGCAGCAATTTATATTTTTACACTGTTAGCAACCAGCCTACTTATAGAATGGAAGTCTTTCCTCAATATCTATATTCCTCAGTGTTTGAGGAAGCAGAGCCCAGCCCTGATTCCAATCAAGATTTCTGAGCTCTCTGTCAGAATTACACACAGTTTTGTCTAGGGGAACAAAAATTAAATGTATGTTAATGGGAATGAAGTTAACAGAGAGCTCTCCCTCTCACATAGTCTGACAGAATAAAATAGAGGATAAGAAGAGTTCACTTTTTGCTTACTGTTTTATTTGCTCTTAAAATCCAACTCCTCTTGCATTTATTAAACTGTAAGATGAAATACTGGACCTTACGAGAAGAGTTCACTTTTTGCTTACTGTTACATTTGCTCTTAAAATCCAACTCCTCTTACATTTATTGAACTGTAAGATGAAATACTGGACCTTACTGAAAGCAACTGGAGTTTTTTTCCATGGATTTTGACCAGAACCATAGTAAAAATGAAGCAAAGGATGCTAATCTTTAGAACAGATTGAGAAATTGAATGATTTCCTGGGTTTAAGTCTTGTCTAATTAAGACTAAGCTTGTTAACACATGGTTAATGCACTCACTTCAGGGACAGTTTATTTGGTGGTCAATCCACCTGTTGTGTCCCAGGACAATGGGAAAAATACACACATGTACACAGAGACACACAAAGAAAATTTGCATCAAAACATAAAAGTAAGGACTTGTTTAAAAACATGTAATAAATCTAACTCCACAAACAAAAGAAAAGGTATTTTAAGTGGTTTGAAACCATATTAAACTGAAAGTTAGAGAGTTTCTGCTGTTTTTTTCAATATGCTTTCGAGCTTGGTTTTTATTAACTTTTCTCTGCTGTGCCAACAACTTTACAAGTTCTAAATTTCTCGGGGCTTCTTTTTGTGAGATGATACTGCAAGACAATTGCTCGAAATGTTAATTGTGTTGAACCAGTTGTGATTTGAGGTGAGAGATTTTCTGAAGGAAAGCAGAAGACATTCAGAAGAAGGAACCACTGGAAGTTGAAGGAACCACTGGAAGTCTGAGAAACCCTCACCTCT